TAGCATTATAAAGTTAAATATAATATAAATAATAAAATCGAGAATTTTCACACGAAAATAGCATTCAATAGTCATTTTCGCCGAAAAGACAAGTCCAGAGGTCAAATTTTTTTTTTTCAAATTAAAGTATATTACATTAGCTTTAATTTAAGATATATATAAAAGTGTCACTCCTTCCGGAACATTTTCAAAAGTTAAGTTGAAAAAGTTAATTTTTTGTGAAAAAGTTGTCATTATAGTATTATAAATATATTTGTATTATTGTCTTTAGTAGAAACTCGCGCGTGATATAATAAAAAAAGATCATAATTTTTATCGTAATAGATTTAAATTATTTTCATTATAGTGAACGATGATAACACTCACTAAAAATTAATACAATAAATGTCACATAAAAGCTGAATTCTTTCTAATAATGACCCACGTGCCAATAGAATTTCCAGGATCCTGAAATGTGATTTAAAATCATAGTGCATAATGTATGGCTTTCTTACGCTGTCATTCGTTAAGTGTATTATATTATTTCATAGTTTTTCTGTACACTTTGGAATAAACTGATCGTTTTTATTGACTATAATTATGTCTAGACATAGAAAGGCTATTACTGCCCATTTAACATACAATATTATTTTAATTCAGTTAAGACTTAAAATCATGTTTTTAAAGAATTACCCTTGTATTAATAACAATATTACATTTATGAGACTTTGTACATTATGTTGGATAAAATAAATTTGGGAAATATCAACCAACATAATCATCTGGCTTTATTTCTTTATCATCAACGAAAGACGTCAGTTATTTTCAATCTGCCTGTAAGTATTTTTTTTTATAAAATAAATTTTTAATTATTTAAACATATGCTTTTTAGGAGAGATAGAAAATTATTTTGTTTTGTACAGCTTTATATTGATAAGTGTTAATTTTTTGTTATAAAATTAAACGTTACTCGTAAAATATTTAGCGATGTAAAATAATATGCTAATAGTAACTTGTTGAACCAAAAATTTCACTTAGGCTAAATAAACTAATGGCTTTTACTTAACATTTTAAGTGAAAGCTTATTCAAATATATCGTAATAATTAACAATCAATCATGATTTAATTACCCTATATGTAAGACAATATTTTTTTCTATTAAATAAATTTGATGGTATGAAAAAAATTGGGGTTGCCATTTGATATTCGAAATGATAGCACAAAATTAATTTTTCGTTTAAATTGCTCAACAATGAATCGTTAATGTAAAAAAAAAATTATTAACAATAATAATTTCAAAGCTATTTCGTGAGGCATAGTTAAGAAATCATTCTGTATGTAT